TGTTGAATCTAGTGTTATTGATCCACCTGACCTTCACTTACACCCCTCTTGTTCGAACCTCCACCAAGAGCACGTGTGTCACTGTTGCTCCGGGATATACCATACACTATAGCCTGCTGCCTACACTATAGCCTACAGCCTACGACCCTACACTACAGCCTACACCCTGCACTACAGCCTACACCCTACACTACAGCCTACACCCCCACTCAAACATGCACTCAGGAACACAAGTGGATATATAGTACAGGTACACCTAACCTAACCTAACCTAACCTAACCTAACCTAACCTAACCTAACCTAACCTAACTATCGTGCAGGTACAGGAAGTTTTGCCGTCTCTGCAGTACAGCAGCATTGACTCGTGATTGGCTGAGTATTCGTGATGTATTTGCACCTTGAAATGTGATTGGCTGAGTATTCGTGACGTTTTTGTACCTTGACCCGTGATTGGCTGATTACTCGTGCTGCCCATAACCTAGACACGACCGTCACTATTCTATAATGAATGTGTATCTAATAATCTACAAACCTCATAATTTATACCCAGAAATATACTTCGCCTCACTCACTCACTCACATGTAATTGTAGTAGTTGTCGTAGTTTATGTGCGTGTGTAGGTATATGCGTATTTAAGTGTGTGTGTGTGTGTGTGTGTGTGTGTGTGTGTGTGTGTGAGTCAGGGTGTTTCCCGGGTAGTGTGAGGAAGCCTGTGGGTCGCCTCCTGTAATATTTACTACCCAGGGATGGTGGTGGTGGTGGGTGTCTGGTGGTTGGATGAGGGTGGTAGTTGGATGAAGGTGATTAGGGTGGTACGGGTAATGGTTGGATGAAGTTGTTGGTTGGATGTAGGCGATGAAGGTGGTGGTTAGATGAGGGTGGTGATGGTTGGATGAAGTTGATGAGGGTGTTGGTGGGAGTGGTTGGATGAGGGTGTTGGTGGGAGTGGTTGGATGAGCGTGATACGGATGGTGATGGGAATAAAGGGGTCAATCTGATAGGGTGGTGATGGTGATAGTGAAAGGGGAATAGGATGGTGATAGGGGTTATATGGCTTTGGAAATGGTGAAGGGAAAAATAGGGAGGAACTGGATGTGGTGGATGTCTGATAAGGATAGTGTGGATGAGGATTGGATGTGTTTGTGACGGTGGGGGATGACACAAAGGTGGATTAGAGAGTGGATGCGTGTAGTGGTATGTATGGAATTGAGTGGAAGATGAGTGTGGGGGGAGTGGAGTGAATAGGGTGGAGGGTGTGGAGTGGATAGGGTGGAGGGTGTGGAGTGGAGGGGCGAGGTCTCTGGAAGATTGGTGTCAGGAGGGGGAGGAGAAACAGGAGGGAGGAGGAGGAAGAAAAAGAATATAATGTAGAGAAAGAGGACCAGAAGAAGGATGGGAGAAGGGAGAGGAGGACGGTGGTGATGATTCAGAGGAAGAGGAGGAGGAAGATAAACAGGAAGAGGAGGAGGAGGAGGAAGATAAACAGGAAGAGGAGGAGGAGGCGGTAGAGGAGGTATCAACAATAAATTTACTTGAATATTATTGATCTTATGTGTGGGGGTGGGGGTGTGTGGTGAGGGTGTGTGGTGGGGGTGTGTGGTGGGGGTGAGGGTGTGTGGTGGGGGGTGTGTAGTGGGGTGAGGGGTGTGTGTGGTGGGGTGAGGGTGTGTGGTGGGGTGAGGGTGTGTGGTGGGGGGTGAGGGGTGTGTGGTGGGTGTGTGGTGGGGGTGAGGGTGTGTGGGGGGGTGAGGGTGTGTGGTGGGGTGAGGGTGTGGTGTGTGGGGGTGAGGGTGTGGTGGGGGTGGGGTGTGTGGTGGGGGTGAGGGTGTGTGGGGGTGAGGGTGTGTGGTGGGGGTGAGGGGTGTGGTGGGGGTGAGGGTGTGTGTGGTGGGGGTGAGGGTGTGTGGTGGGGGTGAGGGGTGTGTGGTGGGGGTGAGGGGTGTGTGGTGGGGTGAGGGGTGTGGTGGTGGTGAGGGGTGTGTGGGGGTGAGGGGTGTGTGGTGGGGGTGAGGGTGTGTGTGGTGGGGGTGAGGGGTGTGTGGTGGGGGTGAGGGTGTGTCATGGGAAGGTGAAAGTGTAGTGGGGATGAGGGAAGGGAGGGTGGACGTGAGGAGGAGAGAGAAAGAGTGAAGGAAGAGGGAGGTGAGGGGGAGGGAAGAGGTACGTTTCTCAACTATTATGTTACCAGGACAACAGCCGTCAGCCGTCAGTCACGTCTTGAGTTACCATACAGCGTCACCACCTGGGACAGTGACCAGGACAGTAACCGGGACAGTAGCTGGGGCAGTGACCAGGGCAGTATCAACTGGTGACTCATTCTCTCTATCCTATCACCTGCTCCGTCACTCACCTTTCCCGTCACACTCAGCTGCCACTCACGTTCTTGTTACTCAGCCATCGTGTTCCTCGTCACTCACCTACTCATTCATGCTTCCAGTGAGTCAGTCAGTCAGTGGAGTTACCAGCTACCGTGTCATCCAGTGGTTACTCACATCATTCATCCATTCAGTGGAACACCTACTGTCATCCATCCATCCATTTATTTATTTATCAATTTTGTTCATCCACCTTTTCATCCAAATCTATCTATCTGTCTATCTATCTATTCGTTTATCCAGCCATCTGTCTGTCTGTCTGTCTGTCTGTCTGTCTGACTGTCTGTCTGTCTGTCTCCAGCGACCTTCCCCTTCTCCCACACCGTCTCACCCACTTACCTGTATTAGGGCTGTTAGTCACGGGAACACCCAGGTCATTAGTGGATTGATGCCCCCCCCCACCCCTCATACTCACCTGTAACACCATCCTCCTCTCTCAGGTGTAGTGGTAATTGACTCATTAAGGTTAATGTGTGGTTGTCAGGTGAATGTATGGTCCAGGTGAATGTATGGTTGTCAGGTGATTGTTTGGTCGCCAGGACATTGTATGGCTGTCAGCGGATTGTATGGCTGTTAGGTGATTGTATGATTGTCTAGTGATGTATGGTTCTTAGGTGATTGTATGGTCCAGGTGTGGTTGACTCATCAGGTAAGTTGGTGACTACCAGGTGGGGTTGAGTCATCAGGTGTGTGTGTGTGTGTGTTTGACCACCAGGTGTTTAATTAATTATTATGACCTTTTGTGTTGACTCTCTCCCTCACCTGTTGGGAAACCTCCTCACACACCCAGGTGGAGTCGCGGGGTGAATTCTATTACGTGGTGTTGGTTAGCACTGGGGAAGGTCTTGGTTTGGTTAGGAGTAAAGGTTCTGGTAGGTGGTGTTGGTTAGCACTGGGGAGGTCTTGGTTTGGCTAGTAGAAGTAGTTGTGGTATCTGTGGCGCTGGCTAGGACTAGTGTGTGTGTGCGGTTCTAGTCTTGGTTAGGAAGTATAGTAGTTTATGAAGTTGGTTAGGACAAATGGACAGTTCCTTTCTTGGCTAGACCAGATGGATCGTTCCCGGTTTGGCTAGGACACGTGGAAATTTTTTTGGCTCCAACACGTGGAATTTTTTTGGGCTCAGTTAACACAGATGGAGATACCAGGTCACCAGGTGGTATGAAAGTGGTGTTATGAAGGGATGATGGCGCCTGTATGTTAAGGTGTTAGTGGTGCAAGGTGTTGAGTGGGTGGAGAGCTAGGGGAGGGTGGTGAGAGGGACGGAATGGGTGGATGTGAAGATATACGCAGCGATACCCTGTACATACATACATACATACATACATACATACATACATACTGTACATACATACATACATACATACATACATACATACATACATACATACATACATACATACATACATACATACATACATACATACATACATACATACTGTACATACATACATACATACATACATACATACATACATACATACATACATACATACATACCCCAACTCTTTCTCACTCTCTCACACACACACACCCCAATAACCCTCCATAACGGGACCCAGAGGTTTGAGAGTGCCAGCGTAAAGCAGAAACAGAAAATACCTTTTATACGAGCAGCACAAAAAACATTACCATCGGTATGACCCCGAACGTATAAAACCAGTTATGCCTGGGGACGCCACAACCTGGGTTTAGTGTGTGTGTGTGTGTGTGTGTATGTGTGTGTGTGTGTATGTGTGTGTGTGTGTGTGTGTGTGTGTGTGTGTGTGTGTGTGTGTGTGTGTTTTGTTTACTTCCTGGTTCTGGCTCCTGGTCTTAGTGGTTCTTGTCCTGATAAATGGTACTGGTAACTCAACCTTATCCTTGTCCTGTCTCCTCACTTGATCTCCCCTCTTCCCGTCCTCTCCTCCCTACCCCTTACCCACCCCTCCCCCTTACCCACCCCTCCCCCTTACCCTCATCACCCAGGTAACTTGCATGGCATTGTCCCCTTTACTACACCTGACTCATCTCCTACCTCCCCTCACCTCCCCTTGCCTGGCTCCATAAATCCTTCACCCTCCCTACACCATCAACACTATACTCGTCCCCTCGTCGCCACGCTGGAGGAGAGTGACTGAGGGGACAGGGATAGGGGGAAGAGGGGAGGCGAACGAGGGGGAACAGAATTAAGGGAAGGCGGGAGGGGTGGAGAACGAGGGAGAGTAAGAAGAGGTTGAGAGGGAAGGGAAAGGCGGACGAGAGGGAGGGACACGTGGAATGATGGGAAAGGGAAGGTTAGAAGAGGGATAGGGTGTGAGGATGAGGTAATTGGGAAGGGGGTAGGGACGAGTTGACGGGCTGGGATAGAGGGAGATGGGTGAGGAAGGAAGGGAGAGGACAAAAGGGAGGGAGAAATGTTAGAAGGAGAATGAGAGAGAACGAAGGGTTAAAAGAGGGAGGGGTAAGATGATAGTAGGGTGGAGGTATAGACAGAGAGGAACCTGTTTAGGGTAGATAATACTGATACTCTTGATGTTCTACCGTGTGTCTGTCTGTCTCTCTGTCTGTCTGTCTGTCTGTCTGTGTCTGTCTGTTCACCCCTTTTCCGGACCAGAAGTTTCTTATATCCTAGACTATGGGACCTTTATTTTTCGTTCCAGGGTTTCCTCTTCTTTCCAGGGTTTCCTCTTCTTTCCAGGGTTTCCTCTTCTTTCCAGGGTTTCCTCTTCGCTCCAGGGTTTCCTCTTCTTTCCAGGGTTTCCTCTTCTTTCCAGGGTTTCCTCTTCTTTCCAGGGTTCCTCTTCGCTCCAGGGTTTCCTCTTCTTTCCAGGGTTTCCTCTTCTTTCCAGGGTTTCCTCTTCTCTCCAGGTTTCCTCTTCGCTCCAGGGTTTTCTCTTCTTTCCAGGGTTTCCTCTTCTTTCCAGGGTTTCTTCTTCCAGGGCTTCTTCTTTCCAGGGTTTCTCTTCTTCCAGGGTTTCTTTCTTCCAGGTTTCTCTTCTTTCCAGGCTTCTCTTCTTCCAGGCTTCTCTTCTTTCCAGGCTTCTCTCTTCTTTCCAGGCTTCCTCTTTCCGGCTTCTTTCCAGGGCTTCTCTTCTTCCAGGGTTTCCTCTTCTTTTCCAGGCTTCTCTTTCCGGCTTCTCTTTTTCCAGGTTTCCTCTCTTCTTCCAGGCTTCCTCTTTCCGGGTTCCTCTTTCGGGTTCCTCTTCTTCAGGGCCTCTTCTTCCAGGGTTTCCTTCGGGTTTCTCTTCTTTCCAGGGTTCCTCTTTCCAGGGTTTCCTCTTCCCAGGTTCCTCTTCTTTCCAGGGTTTCCCTCTTCTTTCCAGGGTTTCCTCTTTTCCGGGGTTTCCTCTTCTTTCCAGGGTTTCCTCTTTCAGGGTTTCCTCTTTCCGGGGTTTCCTCTTCTTTCCAGGGTTTCCTCTTCTTCCAGGGTTTCCTCTTTCCGTTTCCTCTTCTTTCCAGGGTTTCCTCTTTCCAGGTTTCCTCTTTTCCAGGGGTTTCCTCTTCTTTCCAGGGTTTCCTCTTTCCGGGGTTCTCTTCTTTCAGGGTTTCCTCCTCGCTCAGGGTTTCCTCTTCTTTCCAGGGTTTCATCTTCAGGGCTTCTTATCCATTTCAGAGTTTTTTTTAATACTCTGCGCTGCCGTCTGCAATGGAACTGATAGGAGGAGGAGGAGGAAGAAGAAGGGTAGGAGGAGGAGGAGGAGGAGGAGGAGGGGAAGAGTAGTAGCAGGAGGAGGAAGAAAAGTAACGAGAAGTAGCAGGAGGGTAGCAGAAGAAGTAGGAGGAGGAGGAGGAGGAGGAGGAAGAAGTAGGAGGAGGAGGAGGAGGAGGAGGAGGAGGAGGAGGAAGAGTAGTAGCAGGAGGAGGAAGAAAAGTAGCAGGAGAAGTAGCAGGAGGAGTAGCAGAAGAAGTAGGAGGAGGAGGAGGAAGGAGAGTCGCAGGAGAAGTAGGAGGAGGAGGAAGAAGAATAACAGGAGAAGTAGCAGAAAAAGTAGGAGGGGGAGTAGCAGAAGAAGTAGGAGGGAGGAAGAAGAGTAGCAGGAGAAGTAGTAGGAGGAGGAGGAGGCTGTTCTTGCATCTCATTGTCGGGACGAGGCTGTCACTTTCTCCTCAATTTTTTTTTTTACCATCATCAATTTCTTTTTCTTCTTGATGGTTTGTTATTGTTCGTTTCTCTTGAGTCTTGTCTTTTATTATCTTTATTGTTTTTATTCTCTTTTTCCTTGACATCAGTTGTGTACGTGTAGTTATCTCTCTCTCTCTCGTTTATCATTCTCCTTTATCCATCTTCCCTTAGTTATTCTCTATCATCACCTTCCTCTAATCATCTCTCATATCTTCTCTCTCTCTCTCTCCCCCGCCTTTATTACTCTTTACTTTGATGCTGGTAATTATTAGATGGGGCCGTCTCTCACCTGTACCCCTCACCTGTAATTAAAGGATGGGGCCGTCTCACCTGTTTCCATCACCTGTAATTGAATCTTCCTCCCTTACCCATAACTTTGACGTCGCCTTGTCCCATTACCATCCCCTCCTTCCTCCCTCCCTCCCTTACTCCTTTCTCCTCTCCTTTCTCCCTTCTCCTTTCTCCTCTCCTTTCTCCTTACTCCCTCTCTCTCTCTCTCTCTCTCTCTCTCTCTCATTACTCTCCCCTACCCCCCTTTCTCACGTCACACAAGAGCATAATGAGTTAATGATTACTGGTTTGTTCTTTTGCATATTGAGGTAAATTGATGTACCTCCAGACACCTGTACCACCAGACACCTGTACCTCCAGACACTCTGTGCCTCCAGATACCTGTACCTCTGCTCTCCAGATAATCATTGTGCCTCTACCCCCAGACACCTTTATGAAGGAGCTCTAGTTGCCCCCACCTTCCACCTTTTAAACACCTGCTTAAAAATACCTGTTGAGAGGCACATTCTGCACCTCCCCTGACACCTGCTGGCTCACACACACACACTCCCCCTCCTCCTCTGAGAACTGCATCACTGTAAGGACCAGGTTAAAACATCACTTAAAGCCTCTCAGGTCTACTTGACGGGGGCAGGTCTTAACTCTTGGACTGGAGGAGAGGCAGGTTTCTTCACTCTTGATGGGGGAAAAGCAGGTCTTTCATTCTTAGAGGGGGAGGGGGCAGGTCTTTAGTATTGACGGGGGAGTCAGGTCTTTAGTCTTGACGGGGAGGGGGCAGATCTAGTCTTGACGGGGGGAGGAAGGCAGGTCTCTTCACTTTTGATGGGGGAGGGGGAGAGACAGGCCTTCACTCTTGACGGGGAGGGAGGCAGGTCTTCACTCTTGACGGGGAGGGGAGGTTTTAGTCTTGATTGGGGAGGGAAGGCAGGTTCCTTCACTTTTGATGTGGAAGGGGAGGTGCAGGTCTTCACTCTGACGGGGGAGGCAGGTCTTCACTCTGACGGGGAGGTAAGGCAGGTTTCTTTCACTTTTGACGGGGAGGGGAGGCAGGTTCACTCTTGACGGGAGGGAAGGCAGGTCTTCACTTTTTGACGGGGAGGGAAGGCAGGTCTCTTCACTTTTGGGGGAGGGAAGGCAGGTCTCTTCACTTTTGACGGGGGAGGGGAGGCAGGTCTTCTTTCTTGACGCGGGAGGGGAGGCAGAGGCAGAGGCAGGTCTCACGTTAACCTTCAAGTGTTAGCGCTAAGTGATGGAGGGACGGGTCGTAATGGAGCTGTTGGCGAGGAGGTCGAGTAGCACAGCGAGGAAGGGCAAGGAAGAGGGATAAGGGCAAGGGTGGGTTAGAAGGTGGGCAAGGGAGAAGGGGGCAAGGAAGGAAGTAAGTGGGTAGGGGAGTAGTCAATGATAGCACAAGGAAGGGTCAGGGGAGCGGGAGAGAGGGGAAGTGAGTAAGGAAGTGGTCAGTGAGAGAAGAAGGAATGGGCAAAGGTACGCGAAGGAGGGAAAGGAAACGAGAGAGAGAGAGAGAGAGAGAGAGAGAGAGAGAGGGGATAAATTTGACGCCATTTTAATTTTTTTGTCATTGTTTTATCTTAAGTACTGTCTTTATCTGTCATTCTCACTTACGAGTATGAATCACCTTACGAACCTTGGTGAACCCGGAAGCCATGATGATAAGCCACTTCCTCGTTCCAAGACACCCGGAAAAAAAAGACAGAACTTTGACCCGGATATCCCCCCCCCCCAAAAAAGAAAAAAGTATACTATTTTTTCTTTCGTCTCTTACAGAAAAGATTTATTGAGGTGATTTAGTCAATTTTGAAAGATTTTTCGATTTTTTTTTTCAGATTCGGAAATGTGATGTGAATTATTATTTTTGCTGTTAATATTTGTTGATTTTATTATTATTATTATTATTATTATTATTATTATTATTATTATTATTATTATTATTATTATTATTTCTTTTTAGGGGGGGGGGTTGTGTGGGTGGTTTTATGAGTATAATTTCCTGTTTTAACTGACTGACTGACTGATGGATGTGTATAGGGTTGGAGGGAATTTTTTTCCTCTTAAGTGTTTATTGAAGATTTGTGGCTTATTGGATGGGGGGGGTGATAATTTACATATAGTATACCTGCCCATTCTCACCTGTGCCCACGTCTTTTCCACTACACGCCTATACTCCCCTTCCCCCACCCCTCCCACGCCCTCACCTGTGTTCACACCTCTGGCACTACACGCCCTTGCCCACGCGTGTAGAGGAACCTGCACTAACACTTTCTAACTTCCCACAACACAACTAGTTAGATCACGTAGGTAGAGTTGACCTGCTCTGGTTTATCTGAGAGAGAGAGAGAGAGAGAGAGAGAGAGAGAGAGAGAGAGAGAGAGAGATTCTGACTAAATAATAATAATGATGATACTAATAATGAAAATATAACAACAACAACAACTCCCACCAATAACAATTACAACCAAAACAACAACCATTTATATATAATTCTTAGTAGAAAAGAAATGAATATAATTATAGACGACATAATTTTGAATCTGAATTTAGAAACATTGAATTAGATAGAATACCAATAACTACCCAGACACCACCACCTTAATACACCCTCCACGACCTGACACCCAGTTGATCACTCCTGCCGGCGAGGTTGTGTGTATGTGGCATCGATCACCCTAGGTATGGTTAGGTAGTTAAGGTGTCATAAGGTCATTAGTGGTGGGGACGATATAATGTCACAATGAGGTAATTTAAGTATGACATATTGTTAGAGTGATTGTGGGTTTATTTTGGGTGGATCACTCACTCATTCGCCGCCCACTCACTCACTCATTCGCCGCCCACTCACTCACTCATTCGCCGCCCACTCACTCACTCATTCGCCGCCCACTTACCGCCCACCCATTTTACCCAGCTCGCACTAAAACATCTTTCTGACCAAGTCTTCCTCGCATTACACGTGCGTAGGAGGAAGGTCTCGGAACTGAAACATTATTACAAGGCACTCGAGTTAGGCGGCGGAAAGCCTCTCTGGAATAGAAATCATTTTACGAGCAAGAATTGGAGTCTTGGAGGAAGCTTCTCTGAGTAAGTTTTGTGAGGCGGGAGGAAGCTAATGAGGAGAAATACTCTTATAATGAGTTGGAGGAATATCGGTGGGAAAGAAATGTTGTTAATGGTGAAGTTTTTGTCTAATGAGGTGGGGGTAGGGAGGAGGAAGAGGGAGGAGGGGGAAGAGATGGCTTTGGTGTGGGGGGGAAGGAAGTATGGATGGGAAAGGGAAGGGGAGAGAGGTAGGAAGAGGTGTGGGAGGGGAAAGAGGTTAATATAGTTATCAAAATACAAATATCGCTGATTCATCTATCACTCAATATTTTATATTATTCCATTTGTGATCCCATCCTCTACAGCTGCGGCTACTGATGACGATGATTATGATTCGCTGGTGTGGAGCGGATGGATACCCAGTACCTCATGACTGCCAGTACCATTGAAGAAATTTAGAGGGTAGGAGGAGGCAGGCTGACTGCGTTCCTGCAGGCTAGCTAAGCTAATAGTGTGTTAGGGTTGTGTCTTAGGCTAGTTATTGTGGTTGATTTTCTTGGAGCTGTTGTACTGGTTGACCGTAAATTTTTGGCGGCTCTGGCACTAGACATCCTACCCTATGGGGGGACCGGTGGTAGAAGCGGTACCGTTCTTGCCTCGCAAGCGAGATGTCACGGGTTCGATTCCCGGGCTGGTGGAAGTTGTTTGGACTTACTTCCTAGCCCCCATTAGTCCCTGTTCACCTAGCAGTAAAGTAGGTACCCGGTGTAAGTCGAAAGTTGCGAATTCGTATTCAGGGAGTTGTTGGAGCTTTCAATAACTTGATGACATAAACCACTGACTCTTCAGGCTTCTATGCCCTTAACTCATGAGACACAAAGGCAAGCATGAACTTAGCATGCTTCCCTGTTGGGCGCTGTAAACGCTTCTGCGCTTCACCTTACACAAGGATGTAGGGGGGTGCCCAATAAAAAAAAAAAAAAAATCCTACCCTATCCCATTTATGGGTGTTTTAAGAGTCATATTTCATATTCCACCGACCCTACTGGCGGATGCTGGTCTTGGGAGGGTGTCTATTGCCTGGCCGTATAGATCGGGGGTGGTAATGGACCTTTTGAGATTTGGTACCTTTTTGGGAACCATCTATGGTTGTTGGCGTTGTCTGGCGGGAGTCTTTGAAGGAGTTCTTGCTCTGATCATTGTATTTTTTGCCAGACTCCGCTGGCCAGGGTGTGCAGCTGCTGGTTGATGGGTTTTATTCTCAGGTCTCTATGTATCTCGGCTTTGGTTCTGGTGAAGGGGTATCTCTCACCTTTGACGAAACTAGGGCTTTGTCTTTGACCATCTGTCTCCTGTGTGTTGTCTCATCCCCAGTTTAGTGTTTCTGCCGTCAAGTTTCAGAGCAGCTTTTCGATGTTTGAGGATAAGAACATAAGAATGGAGGAAACTGCAGCGGGCCTATTGGCCCATACTGGGCAGTCCCGTTTACACCCAACCCCTATTGCTCATATAATCATCCAACCTATGTTTGAAGCTATTCAGCGTATTCGAGTTCATGATGATATTTGGTAACTTGTTCCATTCATCCACTACTCTATTTCCAAACTAGTGTTTTCCTATTCCGCGCCCAAATCTAAATTTGTCTAATTTAAAACCATTGTTAAGAGTTCGCTCCTGGTTGGATAATTTGAGTACCTTTGTAATGTCCCCTTTGCTTAGCCCTGACTTCCATTTATACACCTCTATCAGGTCGCCCCTCGCTCTATGTCTCTCGAGGGAGTGCAAATTAAGATGCTTTAACCTGTCTCTTTTCCAAATGCCCTGGATTAGCCTTGTCATTCTCCTCTGAATTCTTTCCAAGGATTCTATATCCATTCTGTAATACGGTGACCAGAACTGAACTGCGTAATCCAGGTGTGGTCTCACAAGAGCAAGATACAGTTTTAGGATGCCCTCGCTAGTCTTGTAGCTAACACTCCTTTGTATGAACCCAAGTTCTTTATTAGCCTTATTACGAGCAAAAACACATTGTTTACCTGGCTTAAGATTCCTACTTATCATTACTCCTAAATCTCTCTCGCAGTCGGACTTCATAATGGCATCATTGTTCATCTGGTAACTGGTTTCCCTGTTTACATCTCCTATACTGAGTACTTTACATTTGTCCACATTGAACTTCATCTGCCATTTTTCAGACCATTCGAAAAATTTGTTTAGATCTTCCTGTAGTTTTGCGGAGTCCTCGTCAGATTTAATTACACGTCTTATTTTAGTGTCATCAGCAAAATTACTTCGCTCCTCTTCTTCCTGCTTCTCTTCCTCCCCCTCCTCACTAATAAGGCTTTAGGTGGTCGTTGCGTGAGGTGTTTTGTAAATAGTGTGGCAGATATACCAACCCTTCTGCACTATCCCCTTGCCCCCTGGACTACCACCCCTCCCTCTTCCTGCCCCCCGCCCCCCTCCTGGTCTTCCTTCCCCACCCTCTCACATGATGGTGGTCAGATGGTCTTAGGGGGAATATTCCAACACGGTGTAAGGCTTTAGTGGGTCTGTTGCGAGGTTTTGGTGAAGGTTTGGATCACCTGTAGATTAGGTACCCCAAATTATTTCACCTGATGATTAAACACTCAAACTTCACCTTACCTTGCCGTACCTTACCTTACCTTACTCTTCAGGTGATATATCTGATGTAAACATAACGGCGTGGTGTCCCTAGACTCCCCCTTTGTCCTGTGCTGGTGGAGTTATTGTTGGACATCGCGTGACGGTGAGAAACATAACGACACCTGGTGGGGGGCACCTAAGGACGCCTCCCCTCCACCCTCGTTGCGTGATGTTGTGTAGTGAAATGCAAAAGGACACCTGAGGGCACTCTCACCACTACCTCACTTAATGAAGCTTCAGGAGGAGGTCGCGTGATGTATTGTGGACGATGTTGTAACTGATACCGTGGCTCGAGGTCCTCACCCCCCTCCCCTTCCACCCCCTCCTTACACACACACACACACACCTACACACAGGCTGCATCAGTACCTGGTGCAATAACGCCTCGTAAATCCACTATTCTCCACCACCCCTCAACTTTTCTGCACCACTCTCCATCATCCTCCACCACCCCTTTCTATCCTCCACCATTCCATTCTATCCTCCACCATCCCCTTCTATCCTCCATCATCCTTTTTCATTTTCCACCATCTTCCATATACTCCACAATCTCCCCCACCAACATCCACTTTCCTCACCCTCTGTGTTTTAGGTTTGGTTAGCGTAAGGTTAGGTTAGGTTACCGTAAGGTTAGGTTAGGTTAGCATAAGGTTAGGTTAGGTTAGCGTAAGGTTAGGTTAGGTTAGGTTAGGTTAGCGTTAGGTTAGGTTAGGTTAGCGTAAGGTTAGGTTAGGTTAGCGTAAGGTTAGGTTAGGTTAGCGTAAGGTTAGGTTAGCGTAAGGTTAGGTTATCGTAAGATTAGGTTAGGTTAGCGTTAGGTTAGGTTACTCTTCGGGTGAAATAAGTTGGTGTCTAATCTTGAGGGGATCATCCAGGGTATTTGGTGTAATATTCTGAAATAATGTGACAGGTAAGAAAGCTTTAAGAGCCTCTCCTACCACCTCCTCT